CGATATATATATATATATATATATATATATATATATATATATATATATATATATTACAATGAATCATTCATACAAAAAGTAAGTTATTAAAGTTAATGATATAAAACTGAGATATTACTCTACTTATTGATCTATTTAGTTCATGCTACGTTGACTGATAAACTACTACAACTAAAAATTCTTAAATTGCCATGTTAGAATAAAGGCTCTCACTTAAATTTTCAAAAATTCAACCTTAGCGTTGTAACCGCACGCTCCACAAGTGTGTATCAATTATTAATAACACATAAAAAAAGATATATCGATTTTCATGATATTTTTCGTCTCGGATGCTACCTAAATTTTCCCCAAAACAAGGATGAACTGAGGAACGATCGAATGCAGGTACATATTTAAGGAAGACCTAATATAGTTTATAATTTTTAAAAAAATAGTATCATCACATTTATTAAGTGGTTAGTGGGTTAATGCATGTTTGAAATTTAGATAGCGAAGGGATTTCGCCATTTTATATCATTAATTTTTCTAATTTGCTTTTTGCATGAATAATTCATTGTAATATAAATTAAACTGCCCCACATATTTGAGATATATATATATATATATATATATATATATATATATGCATTAGTATTCTTTGACTTTGATATTAATAAGTCGTTTATTCTTTTTTACATTGTGCATTGAGCAATATACATACACACACACATATATATTTATTAACTGATTTATATATCCATATATCCATATATATATATATATATATATATATATGCATTAGTATTCTTTGACTTTGGTATTTAATTAGTCTATACTTACGTTTATTCTTTTTACATTGTGCATTGAGCAAATATATATATATATATATATATATATATATATATATATATATATATATATATATATATTTATTAACTGATTTATATATCCATATATATATATATATATATATATTAGTCAGTGCACTATATATATATATATATATATATATATATATATATATATATATATATATTGCTCAGTGCACAATGTAAAAAATAATAACCGAATGTGTACACTTATTAATAATATCTGACCATTCATACTATCGTGGTTAGTATTCCTTGACTTTGATCGATCTATCTATCTATCTATCTATCTATCTATCTATCTATCTATCTATCTATCTATATACGTGTATATATATATATATATATATATATATATATATATATATATATATATAGATAGATAGATAGATAGATAGATAGATAGATAGATCAATGTTGGTTCCAGACTGTCTGGAAAAAATTCCCAAACTATGAAAGAAGAAAAGAGCAAAAGGCAAACCCCTATCTCAGCAGTAAGTAACCGTGTTCAACGCCTAGTCTATCCAGATCGTGCTAAAAACATTTCACAACGTCAACCCTCAACTGGATGTATGTAGGTATTTATGTTACAAAGATTCATTAAAGCATTTGAACTGAGACGCTTCCAACATTTAAAGGAAGCAGATTCCCCGCTTTTTATTCTTTTAAATACCGTTTTTTTTTTTTTTTTACCTATGCCATCCTGCGCACATGAGCAAGCTTAATAAAGAGAATGTTCGCTCCGGCAGGGTACAAACCTATGTCCCTCTTAGTGCAATGCACGCTGGGTCAAACAGTGACTTTTTTTTTCAAAAAGAGCGTGGGCGTACATTATCATTCTGCCGGTGAGTAGATTTTCCTTAGTAAGGAAAATTCAAGGAATTCAAAGTTGTCTTCATAGACCAGTTGAAAAACCGGTCTATGAGAAGGACAACTTTGAATTCAAAGACTCACGATGCTCATTTCGGATAACCTTGTGGCATACTGTACACTAGTTTTCTGTATTCGGCTTTTCAATAATGTGAGATCGGTTCTGCACGAGACTTCACTTCTATAGCCAAATCAGATGTGATGGTTATCAGGCTGTTTCGTTCCAAACATTGATTTATTTTCCAAACACGAATATTATTCACATACCGCTTCACATACCGCTTAAGCAACTGTGTTTCTGATCAAACCAAACTCTTAAATAATTATATTAATCATACAACTACATTCCTTTCTAGGCAACTCACGTTACACATATTTGACCATAACTCAATTAGGACTCACTTAAATACACACGGAAACCTACCAAAGCCCATGCTTGTAGAAAATACAAGTATAATAAACTCATCCACATGAAAAACATTAAAAATAAAACATTGGAAAATAAAACATTCATTCAGATACATACATAAAAACCCCAGACATTCAGTTAAAAATAAAAATCGTCCCTGATAATGGCTAAAACTTTGTGTCCATAAAAAACACTTGTCCAAATACAAGAAAAAGTAAATAGAGACTGTTTAATCGAGTGCCTTGTCAGTCGTCTTTAACAAAACTTTATACACAGTCAACGACAAAATTATTCGTACACCCATCAATTTTGAATGTTTTTATCCATTTCTCAGAATCTAATGCCCGGATGAGGTCAGGTTTTATATGTTAATAAGCAAAGAAAAAAGGAATATAAAATTCAATTTTCAGAACAATGGGTTAAATATAACAAATTTCACAATTAATGGGAATAATTTTCGTCGTAATATATATATATATATATATATATATATATATATATATATATATATATATATATATATATATACCATACCCATACGGATTACCTAGTTTTTCATAAACTAAAATATATATATATATATATATATATTTTCATAAACTAAATATATATATATATGTGGAAATGCAACAATTGATTAGGAAATCCGTTATTTAATATTTTGACCGTGTTTTGAAAAATGAAAACATTTTATAAAACATACCATACAACAAAGTATTTTTTATTTAACAGTTAAAATATTTAATCATTGAAAATGGCTAAATGTATAGCCGAAAGTGCACAGATAAAAAGAACGTTCGGACAGTTTTTATATAATTTAAACTAAAATATATAAAACTAAGTAAACTAAATATATATATATATATATATATATATATATATAAATAGATAAACTAAATATATATAAATAAATAAACTAAATACATATATATATATCAATAAATAAACTAAATATATATATATATATATATAAACTAAATATATATATATATAAATAAATAAACTATATATATATATATATATATAAACTAAATATATATATATAAATAAATAAACTATATATATATATATATATATATAAACTAAAAATATATATATATAAATAAATAAACTATATATATATATATATATATATATATAAACTAAATATATATATATAAATAAAATAAACTATACACACACATATATATATATATATATATATATATATATATATATATATATATATATATATATATATATTCCTCCTATATTTAGGCTTGGGGATATCAGTCGTGGCTCTTAATTGATGGGGTAAGGGAAACTCGGATGAGTTATACCACGAAATTTATGAAAAGCGGCGCTAAATCCTCTAATTCTCTGCCTCTTCCTCACCGTGTTGGTATGACGTGTGCATCGTATCGTAATGGCCAGGGTTTGATTCTTGGTAGTGAATACGCTCTGTTGATGAGTCCCAAATATATGACGAACCTTCCGTGCTGTGCCTTCGGCATTCTGTTAAGGATTCTTCTAGACTCGATGAATTACTTAATTATGATTATTTCAAATCCTCTTAATAATTTCTTTCACTCGTATATTCTTGCTTGAACTGGTTTCTAATGCTCTGGATGGAGCGGCTTGGAGATAGAAGATGTGGCTCGTGGGTGGGGGGGGGGTCACAGTTCTATGAGTAAAGGGGGACTTGGATGAGTTCTACTACGGAATTTGTGAAGACCGGCTCTATATCGAATGAAGTTCGTTACCTCTTCGTCACCCAGGCCCTTTGGTCAAGTGGTTTCGCTCCTTTTTTTCATGGGTCCATCACCCCTTGGAACCTATATTCGCGCCTGCTTGTCGGTATAACTCTCACCCCCCCCAAGCTACATTTGGCTATTATGTTGGTACATTGTATCTTAAAGATCAGAAGCATTACAATTTCCCATCGTCTGTGTGAAAAGAAATCTCGAAATTTTGACATAGTATTGCTTGACTTCAAATTGCAGCCATTTCAAATACCAATTTAGAAAAACGCCATCAAAAATTCTGCTTTTCCAGCTTGTATAGTATCATACATATCAGATTTTACTTGGAACACAATGCCGCTGTTTCATTCTTTATGATAAACCAAGTCAACTATATTCATTTTTTTAGTTTGCTTCTTTTCTCAACTTTTACTCTTAGGTCACCAATCTATGATCACAAATAGATTGACTGTCTGAGAAAGAGACATTATTGTCACTGTCAAATCATGTATTACTTCTTTCAAGATAATTCACAGCTTGAAATCAAATTCATAAAAGTCATCAACCACTGGACTTGTGGCAAATTAGGCGCGTCCAGATGACGCATCAAAAGATTTTTATTTGATACAGTCTGTGACAAATGAATTTAAATCGGTACTAATCATTTATTCTGTTGAGTCATAGGTAATTTCTATTTTTGAGAACCACTTGTCATATTTTGAAGAATAAACAAAAAAAAAAAAAAAAGAAGTAAATTATGACTTAGACTAATATATTTTCTCCTCTGATTCGGAACAAAACATTCCAGCTAGTTGGATTGACAGTTTGTTTATACGGCATAGATATAAAAGAAAACATTTATTATCATCAATAGGTTTTTAGTTGGGGAATTCGTTTTCTACGGCTTATCAACCTTTTGAAGGTTATTTAAAGCCAGAGAATATTTTTAGATTTTAAGAATTTTTTTTAGATAATAATAATTTAGTCATACAAATCTTACTAATTAATCCATAGCTGAGGGGAGAAGATGTGGATTTATATCTTTCCTTAGGATTTTTGAGTGTAAGTGAATATAACGTACTCAACTGGAACGTGCCCAACTAGAACTAGCTTTCTGATTAACAATTCCATTACACCACCCACACATCCAAGCTTACAGCCCCTGGTGTTCCGAAGCGGTAACCCAAGTAGGTACTGACTAGACCCGACGTTGCTTACTTCGGTGGTCGTACGCGAACCGGTGTTTCAACGTGATATGGCCGTAAGCCCTATCCACAACAAGTTCTTATGTGCCATGTTCCTTCCGGGCGTGGATGATCAGGACTCTGCACAACTTCCTACCCTCCCAGCAATCTTAACCTGTTTAAGTTTAGCCTTAACCGTTATTTTCCACACATATTAAACTGGGCCTCTCGTTCGAGTGGCTCTTAGGCCTTGTACAGGGTGAACATCATTGTAAAAAATAATAGGTCATGTTTATATCTTTACTGTTCGTCCTAGTTTTTGCTTTGGTCATTAAGTAAATTAGTTGACGTTTTCCTCTTGGTCTCAATATCTCCTGTGAGTGTTAAATTCTCCATGCCGTCACTTCTCATTATATATCCTATTATTCTAAGCACAAGTGTATTTTTGTTTCCAGTTAACGAATAAAATAAACATTATTTTATTCGGATTTGATATTTAATAATTAATATTCTAGGAGGCACGGAATAGTAATAGATAGCGTCTGGGATTTCGGAATCAGTGTGCCAAGTTCGAATTCTAGTCGAGGTCATTACATTCGCTGACGTGTTAATACTGTTGGGAAAGGGATGACTCAACAATAATTTGTCGTCCTGGGTATGACGATAAACTACATCCGCGTCCGGGAAAAGACGATAAACTGCGTCCATCAGCAAGGCCTCTGATCAGGAGGCTTTGGGGAGCTTGGAACCACCTCTTAATTGCTGATGTTCCCAGGTGCGCCCTGACCCGGGGTGGTAGCACCTGTTAGGGTCCCAGCTATGGGCAAATAGTTAATCCTGAAACTGAGATAAAAATCATTGTAAAAGTGTAAAAATAGGTTGTAATACCAGAAATACTTTGTAAAAAATTATTACCAGAAATAAATTTTTGAAGAAAAAAAATATTACCAGCAATACGTTTCCGAAAAAAAAAAAAAAATATTACCAGCAATACGTTTTCGAAAAAATATATTACCAGCTATACGTTTTAGAAAAAATAATATTACCAGTTATACATTTTTGAGGAAAAAAATATTAACAGAAATAGATTTTTGACAAAACAAAATTATTACCAGAAAAAAAAGGAAGTTGTCGGCATTAAATGACCCATTGAGTTTGATATGCCGTAAAACAAACCAAACCAACCACAATAGGTAAAATAGCAGGGCAAATGCCCAGCTAAATAGTACAATATTAATCAGCGTCTTTTAATTAATGTCCCTACTGAGAAATTGTTATTGCCTTGGAAATTAATATATTAAAATCCAGATTTTACCTGGATTGGAACAACACTCTGTGGTAGCGGTAGGCTATACGTCGTGTAGTTCAGTTGGCTGACATATACAAAAAGCAGTCTGGACACCTCGCGGTGGTGTAATAGGTACCAAGCGTGTCTTGCTTAAACAATTACGACTGAGTTGTGAGTTCGCTCCTCATTGGGTGCCTCTACTTTCACCCTTGTGCTATATCTAAGCTTCGCTTAGAAAATTACTATATAAATGTAGTTTTAAAAGTATAACTTAAGTCTACTTTCAGTAGATGACGGAACTTTAAAAATGCTAACATTATTTTTTCTCAATGCAATTATATTTTATCTACGCGTCATAATTACTTGTAACAGGATTAACTATAGCGACAACTTTCAATGGATGTCACGATATAGACACCTTGCAGTCATCGTCCATGTAAGAAAGGGTTAAACAAGTTATGACGTTGACAATTATGGTTGATGATATGCCGAATTGAATTAAATAGCGAGGTGTGTCCTTCGTTTCAGGGAACAAAAGAACCGTTGACCGAACAACTCTATTCAAATTAAAACATTTAGTTTACTTCTTATAAAACAAGGTACGCATAAATAGTCGAAAGAACAATGTAGCCTCGACTAGTATCACTATTCCAATGTCTTGTCGTAATTGTCTGAACGCGACTCTGTTGCGGACTGCCTCTGACTCGACTCTTGACTCGACTTGAACTACTGACTCAACTGACGATATTCAGTCACCCCCACCATGAGGGTGTCATGTGGCACAAGGCCTTTTTAACGTGGGCATTCCCGAGCCATTAGGCTCGGCCAAAAATAACCCATTTGAACCCGTATAAACGGGTTCTGGGCCGGACCCCCCCCAGAAGGAGACTGCGCCCTTCGGCGTAGCCTCCTTCGGGTTCTTCCGCCCGTAGGAAGAGAGTTTAACCGAACAGTCGCTCAAAAAGTACTGGGTCGACTGACGATATTCAGTCACCCCACCCCACACACACACACGAGGGTGTCATGTGGCACAAGGCCTTTTTAACGTGGGCATTCCCGAGCCATTAGGCTCGGCCAAAAAATAGCCCATTTGAACCCGTATAAACGGGTTCAGGGCCGGTTTTACCTCTCCGAAGGAGACTCCGCCCTTCGGCGGAGCCTCCTTCGGGTTCCTCCCGCCCGTAGGAAGAGAGTTTAGCCGAAGCAGTCGCTCAGAATGTACTGCGTCGACTGACTATATTTCGTCGTCCCCCACGAGGGTGTCATGTGGCACAAGGCTTTTAACGTGAGCATTTCCGAGCCATTAGGCTCAGCCAAAAAAATAGCCCATTTGAACCCGTATAAACGGGTTTCAGGGCCGAGTTTACCTCCCGAAGGAGACTCCGCCCTTCGGCGTAGCCTCCTTCGGGTTCCTCCTGCCCGTAGGAAGAGAGTTTAGCCGAAGCAGTCGCTCAGAATGTACTGCGTCGACTGACGATATTCAGTCACCCCCCCACACACACACACGAGGGGTGTCATGTGGCACAAAGGCCTTTTTAACGTGGGCATTCCCGAGCCATTAGGCTCGGCAAAAAATAGCCCATGAACCCGTATAAACCGGTTCAGGGCCGGTTTTACCTCCCCGAAGGAGACTCCGCCCTTCGGCGGAGCCACATTCGGTTTCCTCCCGCCCGTAGGAAGAGAGTTTAGACGAAGCAGTCGCTCAGAATGTACTGCGTCGACTGACAATATTCAGTCACCCCCTCCACGAAGGTGTCATGTGGCACAAGGCCTTTTTAACGTGGGCATTCCCGAGCCATTAGGCTCGGCCAAAAAATAGCCCATTTGAACCCGTATACGCGGGATCTGGGCCGGTTTACCGCCCCGAAGGAGACTCCGCCCACCGGCGTAGCCTCCTTCGGGTTCCTCCCGCCCGTAGGAAGAGAGTTTAGCCGAAGCAGTCGCTCAGAATGTACTGCGTCGACTGACAATATTCAGTCACCCCCCACCACGAGGGTGTCATGTGGCACATGACCATTTTAACGTGGGCATTCCCGAGCCATTAGGCTCGGCCAAAAATAGCCCATTTGAACCCGTATAAACGGGTTCAGGGCCAATTTTACCTCCCCGAAGGAGACTCCGCCCTTCGGCGTAGCCTCCTTCGGGTTCCTCCCGCCCGTAGGAAGAGAGTTTAGCCGAAGCAGTCGCTCAGAATGTACTGCGTCGACTGACAATATTCAGTCAGCCCCACACACACGAGGGTGTCATGTGGCATCAGGCCTTTTTAACGTGGGCATTCCCGAGCCATTAGGCTCGGCAGAAAAAAATAGTCCATTTTAACCCATATAAACGGGTTTCAGGTCGGTTTTACCTCCCCGAAGGAGACTCCGCCCATCGGCGTAGCCTCCTTCGGGTCAAATCCCGCCCGTAGGAAGAGAGTTTAGCCGAAGCAGTCGCTCGGAATGTACTGCGTCTTCTGACAATATTCAGTCACCCCCCCCACACACACAGACGAGGGTGTCATGTGGCACATGGCCTTTTAAAGGTGGGCATTCCCGAGCCATTAGGCTCGGCCAAAAAATAGCCCATTTGAACCCGTATAAACGGGTTCAGGGACCTTTACCTCCCGAAGGAGACTCCGCCCTTCGGCGTAGCCTCCTTCGGGTTCCTCCTGCCCGTAGGAAGTGAGTTTAGCCGAAGCAGTCGCTCAGAATGTACTGCGTCGACTGACGATATTAGTCACCCCCCCACCCCACGAGGGTGTCATGTGGCACAAAGGCCTTTTTAACGTGGGAATTCCCGAGCCATTAGGCTCGGCCAAAAAATAGCCCATTTGAAACCGTATAAACGGGTTCAGGTCGGTTTACCTCCCGAAGGAGACTCCGCCCTTCGGCGTAGCCTCCTTCAGGTTCCTCCCGCCCGTAGGAAGAGAGTTTAGCCAAACAGTCGTTCAGAATGTACTGCGTCGACTGACGATATTCAGTCACCCCGCACGAGGGTGTCATGTGGCACAAGGCCTTTTTAACGTGGGTATTCCCGAGCCATTAGGCTCGGCCAAAAATAGCCCATTTGAACCCGTATAAACGGGTTCTGGGCCGAATTTTACCTCCCGAAGGAGACTCCGCCCATCGGCGTAGGCTCCTTCGGGGTTCCTCCCGCCCGTAGGAAGGAGAGAGAGTTTAGCCGAAGCAGTCGCTCAGAATGTACTGCGTCGACTGACGATATTGAGTCACCCCCCCATCCCCACGAGGGTGTCATGAGGCACAAGGCTTTTTAACGTGGGAATTCCAGAGCCATTAGGCTCGGCCAAAAAATAGCCCATTTCAACCCGTATAAACGGGTTCAGGGCCGACATTTTACCTCCCTGAAGGAGACTCCGCCCTTCGGCGTAGCCTCCTTCGGGTTCCTCCGCCCGTAGGGAAGAGAGTTTAGCCGAAGCAGTCGCTCAGAATGTACTGCGTCGACTGACGATATTCAGTCCCCCCCAACCCCACGAGGGTGTCATGTGGCACAAGGCCTTTTTAACGTGGGAATTCCCGAGCCATTAGGCTCGGCCAAAAAATAGCCCATTTGAACCCGTATAAACGGGTTCAGGGCCAATTTTACCTCCCTGAAGGAGACTCCGCTCTTCGGCGTAGCCTCCTTCGGGTTCCTCCCGCCCGTAGGAAGAGAGTTTAGCCGAAGCAGTCGCTCAGAATGTACTGCGTCGACTGACAATATTCAGTCTCCCCCACGAGGGTGTCATGTGGCACAAAGGCCTTTTTAACGTGGGAATTCCCGAGCCATTAGGCTCGGCCAAAAAAAATAACCCATT